TATTTCTGGCCTGCCCGGTTTACTGCGACCCGGATAATATGCTAATGTAAAAAAAAAAGGTGACTGAAAGTTTCAAATTGGTACATCAATATTTCGTAAAATTATATTTAAATGTGAATCTCAGCTGTTTACATTTCTTGGCTTAAAAAAAGTTTTCTTGGCTAAAGAGAACATTCTAATGTTTAACTTTTTAACATTTTAATCACAGATGTAGGCACAATTTTACAAACTACATGACTTCACTGTCTAGCAGGAGAAGTGGTGCAGCCCAGGAGGGAAGTTGGGTGAGTTAGTGCAGTAGTTCCTCACAAGGAACAAGTAGTTCCTCACAGTTCCTCCCTGTCCCAAGGGGTGGCTACAGTCCAGGAGAAGAGTCGGGCAGGTCAGCCATGGGGTGTATATAGTTCTGGGGCTACTGTGGGGTCCCATAAATGCTGCTTTGGTCCTCCCTCAGGGACCTCTCTCACATTGTTCCGGAGTCCCTATATAGTCCTGAAGTCTCTCTCTTCTGTCACCTAAGTCTCTCTCTCTCTGTGCGTCTCCAGTAGCGTCTTTCAGAGCATCTACTCCCCACATCTCAAGAGCCTCTCCCCATATCTCCTGCCCCGGTGGCTACCGCTCTATTTTGAATGTTATCTGAGCCAGGAGTTCCTCCAACTGGCTGCAGTCTTGACGCAGGATGGGTTGTTTACATCCACCTCAGCTCATGGCCTCCTCCCACGCACGCTACCCCCGCGACCCCCTCACCCAAATACCTAATGCTCACACCCAAATTTCTGATGCCACTGCCTGTCTTTGCTTTGACCCTACATTTGAATGGCTACACTGAAACATCAATTTCTCCATCAAGCAAGGGTCTGATTCATCCATTGTAAGAAGCATAACACCAATGGACAGCAGGCCTCAGGCTTTCCTAATCTTCAGTGCCAACCCCCAGTTCCCTGTGTGTTCAAGCCATTCTGCTTACTCAATTCCCATTTTCATCTTGTGTACTAGGAGATACCTGACAATTTAGAAGCAGCAGGTTGGCATTTAACCCTCATTCTCCATGGCTTCCTCTCTTTTCTTCACAATGAGTTTACCATACCAGCAGACAACACCGGCTGCTGGAGGCTGCCAAAAAATCTCCTCCATCTGTTAACCTCAAGTGCTGCAAAGAATACAACCGTGGCAGGAGCAATGACTCCTCTCTAACTGCTCAGCAAACAGCTGAAATCTGGGGTCACAGGCTTTGCAGGCAGAAGCACTGTCACATCAGCAGACATAAGTGAATGGAGGGTTTCTGCTGACAACTAGACCTTGCCCCTAACGCCAGAGCAAGGCACGGGCCTGGGCATTTTAAAGCGAGCTGAGAAGGCGTAGCAGCTCCCCACACTGACCGGTTCACTCAAAAAACATTCTGTATCAAAACCTGCTCAACTAATATCTACCTCAGTAAATCCATTCCTAAAGCTGAATTATACCATCAAATAAGCTGTCAATCCGAACAAAGTGGGCATGCGTGATCTGGGCAAAGGTTTTCATGTTGCTGTTAGATTTCAAAGGGATTCTGCAGTTGAACTCAAGTTGGTAACACAAGTTAAAGCACCAGCCGGTGCAGGCATGCTTCCTTGTCAAGGAGAAGAGGCTACTTGCTGCTCACCAGCACGTACGTTTTGCCCTATGCCCAATAAAATAGGCCCTCAAGTCTCACTTTTTCTTCTATGAAGATGTGGCAATAGTTAAACTGATCAAACAAGACCATAATCAACCTCTTTAAAATGGTATATAACACTTAAGCATTAGAAGTTAAGAGTCACACGTGTTTATAAAAATTTCGTAAAACGTAGGCTCAGCTGCAGGGTTGGGGGATTTTCTATTGTTACTAATCAAAAGCCTAAATTTCTTATTCCTTTTGCACATGCACATGCCAGATGGCTTGCTGGATTATTTAATGAGTTAGAATAAAAACTAGCTCTTAGAAGCACAGAAAATTCAAACATTTTGATATATAATCAGAAACAATACAGCTAATATGCAAGTTCTTTTCTATTTTTCTCAAGAAGGAGCAGGCTTTTGTTTTCTAGCCTAAAAGATCTGATATTCTTAGCTGAATCTATGACAAAGGTTTTCTAAATGAAGATACTGACAAGTTTAAGACATAAGATTTACTGTTTTTCAATTATAATTTTTTTCTGAAAAGACAGGGCATCAGAAACAAATGTCAGTAAATTTTGCTAGTCTAATATGGAATAATTTTTCTTATTAATACAATTTTTAAAGTCAATAGGTTAGACTGATCAGTAACTCAGGATCAAAGCACTTATAGTCTCTTACCGTAACCAAGACAAACACATTTGCTTTGACCTTTGGAGTGTTACAAATCATCAAATGTAAAGTTTCTTTGTTTCTATCTATAATTTCCTTTTTAATTGCAACTCAACAAGCCTGTGAAAGCAGGCACAGTATCTTCACTACAGAAGCTGTCTAAAGACAGGACTACATTATTGTGGTGGAGTAAAATATCAGTTATAAACAATTTTCCAGCCATATTAGCTACAACAAGCATTACTACTTTTCTAGGGGTTCCATGGGCTTTTTGTCTGCCCCTTGCTTATACCTTACGATTCCTAGGAAGAATGGTGCTGTACCTGCAAATATTTTTCAATCTCTCCCAACATTATTATATTACTTTATCCAGAATTCAACAGCACCTGCCTCTGAGAAACAAAAATCGATGTGGTACTCAATTTCACACACTTGTTTTGTATTTCTTCAAGAAACTGCCCACAATAGGAACAAGTATTATCACCAAGCATGTCAATCCCCCTGTCAAGCTACCAAGTTTAGACTCGGAAGTCATTCCCCACAGAATAAGACACGGGCTTGCCAGATTGAAGCTACCAAACCTTAGACAAAGACAAGTGCCATCTTCCTCTTCATGCCGTGGAGAGCATACAGACGTGGTTTTCATCCGGCAGGCACTACGAAACTTTCAGAAGATTGAGT